ATCATCGGGTCAACCAGAACTCACACCCACCAACCAGTCTCATGCTCACTCAAACCGACTGGAGCTGACCATTACAACATTACAATCCTTATACAACATCAGCATTTGGTTCCGCACGACTGCACACGACGGGTAATGTTATTTTCACCTCTCCGAGCGCGTGCTTAGGTTCCTTTTTCCACGTAGTGAGCGCCTGGTTTCATTAGTCAGAGTTCGTAGGCTATTACATAGGGCGCACTATAAGTTTCCGGAACTGGCCACTTACGAAAACAGTATTTAAAAAGTAATTACAACATTTGAAAATAGAACTCTTTGGCTGTAGAATACAGTTTGTTTCACCTAACTGTCACTTGTTTTTACATTGTGGGGTCATTTTAGAAATGGGTTGTCTACATCACCATGGATTTAACTCGTAAAAGTTTTCGAAGTATGATTTTCTACGACTTTTAGTGTAATTTAACAGCCCAGCGATGCTTCGCTCGGCTTCAAACTGCTTTTGGCGATGAAGCACCATGCAAGACGACTATTTACAGCTGGTTTGCAGAATTCGAACGCGGTCGTGTTAATCTCAGTGACGAATTTCGTCATGGTCGCCCGTCCACTGCTGTGAACAACAAAAACATCGATGCTGTGCGTCGTATGATCAAAACAGACAGGCATGTGACATAGAGAGATTCGGGCATCTTTAGGCTCAACTCACACTGGCGCAGAGTCGAAGCGTCGCGTCGCGTCTTGTTCTTCAACTACTACGCCTAGCGACGATGTTCGCATTTGTGCGCCTGAATCACGGTGTGGCCGGCGTCAGGCCCTTCACTCAAGTAACGCGCGGCGACGCGCATCGACTCACGTCGACGCTTGACTCCATATTTTGCGTAACACAAATTTTTTACCTTAATGTTGGGTAAATAGAAATGAATATGCAATAGGCGAAAAACATGACGCGTCGCGACACGCTTCGATTCTGCGCTAGTGTGAGTTGAGCCTTAGGCATAGGCATGAGTCAAATGCAATCAATACTATAGAAACATTTGGGTGTGAAAAAGCTGTGCTCTCGGTGGATCCCACACAATTTGACTGAGGCTCAAAAAACGGATCGCGTCACTTGGTGCAATGTCATGCTTACCAAATTCAACGAAGGGGCGTCACATTTGGTGTGGGACATAGTAACAGGTGACATGTAACACGAAACATGGATTTACAGTTACGATCCCAAAACAAAGCAGCAATCGAGCGTATGGCCTTTCGAGATGAGCCGAAACTAACCAAAATGGCGCGCGTGCAAAGTGCCTCTAAACGGATGATTGCTTCTTTTTTTAATAACACTAGACACGTGGCTACTGTTGCTTTGAAGAATCGTTGTACCGTGAATAGCGATTGGTACACGACCATTTGTTTGCCGGAAGTTATTGACAAACTCCGTAAAAATAACCGTAAACGCCGTATCATCTTGCACCGCGATATGCTAGTTCTCACACGGCCAGACAAACAAATGATTTTTTGAAGGTGAACAACGTTGACCTTATGAGCCATCCCGCGTACAGTCCCGACCTAGCACCTTGTGACTTATTTAATTCCAAAAATTAAGAACAAGTTACGCGGTCAATGATTTTCATCACCTGAAGAGGCTGTCGAAGAGTATGAAAAATATGTTTCAGAGATTGTCACGGAGGAGTGGCATAAATATTTTCAAAATTGGTTCATTCGTATGAAAAAGTGCATTAACGCTAACGGAGAATATTTTGAGAAACAATAAATTCATTTCTGACCATTTATACTATTTTTTCTTATTCATTCCGGAAACTTATAGTGCACCCTACGTATAGAGTAGGTGTTTTCGATTTTGTATGAGAGTTGTGTAGCTGTTACGTAGTAACTATTAAGTAATCTATGGTATAACGCATGTCTTCGAAACGATAATAAGAAAGTTATTATGCAATAAATAAATAATAGAGGGAACTGGAATAATGAATAGTTCACTGTACTCCAGAATCTCCAAGAATTATTCATTGTACGAATTTAGCACGATTTTTAATATTATATGAACGTAAAAGTCTTACCAAGTTTATTACAGCACACGCTGCTATGAGCAGTACAGATACTAGGAACATTGTCAGTCTTATGTAACGGTTGCTGGCCACCACCTGAAAGTGGAAACAAAACTTACACTTATAATTAGTAGTCGGATAATCGATAATAAATATATCGCGTGGGATGCGAATTTGTATGGAAAAAAATCAGCGATACTGGGTTTGAAGAAAAGTTAAAATTGATCAAAATTCTTTTTAGTGCCGATCGACTCAGTTTCATGAAGAAATTATTTCATTGTATGAGACGAAATAAAGACAGTAGAAGTTGGTCAAATTTATATATGTGGCTTAATATATATTTTTTAAGCCACTTCCATACCTCGACAGTAATTCACGGGAAAAAGTGAAGTGTAGGTAAAAGCATCCGAATACCCGACCACTACTTATAATCAATTTAGGTTTCAATAAAATATACAAGAACCTTTTTAGATCTATATATTAATGTGGGATAATGTGGGGAATTTTTCTTTATGCCACTACTCCACCGCGTTCAATTGTATTGCACGTTTTAAAAGCCTTTCGAAATCATTTAATCAAGATCTTTGCCTGTCATACTGTGGTCATGACACGAATATAACGCAACAAAACAGAACGAACCTGTCCGGGCTTGGTGCAATTGTCAGCGTAAATGTCATCGGGAACATCAGACAAAGGATGCATCCCTCTACCAAGAAGATGGCCATCGTTCCATGCGAGGTAAACGAAGACTAAAAGCGTTATAAACGTCGGTCCGAAAGACGCATATAGAACTATTCCTCTGAAAAAGAAACAAATGCAAATTATTATTATTATAAACACAAATATCCATCGAGTATATAACCAGGCTTATATCATAGGAAATGAAACTATTTTTCCGGATTTAAATCGCGTTTATTTGTTTTCTCAAACAAACCGACGTTTCGGGCCCTTTACAGGTCCCATGGTCACGGTTGACTCAACAAAATAATCAACCGTATGTGTAACAATCGCGAAAACCTAAGAACTCGATACAGCCTTATATCACTTTTAAATATTTGCATTGAAATCATAAAATAGTATAGCGCCAACAACTGACCTGTGTGTACGTCTTCGTATATTCAAAAAATATTCTATATTTCTTGTAATAAAGACAATATCTCTAACTATTGTTGTACATTTGGTAGTGTAACAGCAAAACATCTAATTACAAAACAAACGGAATCACATTTCATCGGTAATTAAATACGTAATTTTTCAATTTTCAAGGCAAGGCTCAAGTTAAACTGGTCGAATTCAATTGAAACAATTGACGACACCCGTATGTTTCGAATTCGGGCTGGCCAATCGGAGCGCAGTTGTCACCGTAATGATATGGCAGAATAGTTTTCAAACAAATTAAATGACATTTCGTTTCTATTTCTGGTTATATACTCGAACGGGATCGAATTCCATTCTTAAATGTAACATATGTTTTGCACCTGGACTAAATTTCAGCCCAAAACAATAGTCCTTAACCAAGTCCTTATCGAAAATAAAAAGTGATTCAATTTACTTACTTGGGAACATTAATAATCTGTATCATAGCGAGCAACATGAATAGCGCGACTGCGCAGGCGACGTTGTATTTAAACTGAGGGTCTGACTGGTTCCTGTATTGCTTCTCTTGTTGATCTTTCTTGAACCAGAGAGTCAATTTGTTCATGCCTTCCGCATTGTTGCTAAAAAAATGAAGTTATTTAAAGTGTTAGTTATAAGTCATTTTTAAAGACAAACATCACCATAGATTTAGTATAGGTCTATATAGGTCTATATACTAAATCTATCTATCGCAAAAAAAATGTTTTGTTGCTGCCTGCATTTCTTATTTATGATTGTACAAGTACCAGGCTACAAATATTGCACATCGGGAAAATCCGGAAGTCACGAATGTTTCCGAATGCTGTTGCTGCGTTTGTAACTTATTGCATTAATAACTGTTGTATTACTTGTTATGTACTCGATGTGTATTTATGACAATTTAATATGAAACTACATTAGTCATCATAATAAAGTTTCTTATTTCGTTAAAGTTCAACGTTAAAGTTTCTTACTTATACATCAGTGAATAACACGATAATATATAGAGGCGACAACAGCATTCGGATAATTCGCGGATTTCGAGTTTCCCGATGTGCAATATATACGACCTTGTTGTTTTGTTCAAAAAGTCTGACCTACAAGAGGAGTATTCAACTGCTTCCGTGGCCGAACGGTTACCATACTGGTCTGCCAGGCTGAGGTCCCTGGTTCGATAAATTTGTTTTTCTGGTGAGTTTGGATGACATTTGTGGTTGTCTATGTGTGTGTCAATGGCACCCGCGATACAGGGTTTCCCTAGTGCTATAAGTGTGTGCGGTATTATTATTGTTATTAAGTACTTTCTCACTGCTAGGTATCTAGTTAATTATTACGAGATCTATTGTGTGTAAGAGCGTGCTCGCCAACAACCTGTTCCCAGTTTGGCGGGAGATAGACTTATGTGAAATGTTTCTTTTTAAAAAACAAACGAATAAAACATAATGTAAAATCTACTCAATTGACTTTTATCATGTGAAAAAAAAATTATTAATTAAAAATAAATATATAAATTAAACATTTTCTACATCGTATAGAAAACTTACCTACAATCGCAGCAAGTCGTCCTTTGAGGTAGTAAGTTTTGCTCTATCATGGCAAGACTCTGAAAAAGAAAGCAACGTTGTGGAATTACATCTATTTGCCAAGTTTTATTGAAATCGGTTAACGAAAAGTGGGTGATATCCAATAAACTGGATTCATACCCTAATTTGCCACCCTTATACTTCGTATTTTTAGCATTACAAATAGCTTCAAACAGGTTTTTTACCGAGCACGATATATCACGGAAATGTAAACACATTCGATAGCAGCCAAAATTTTTTTTCACGGTAACATGTTTCAATCTTATTAATAAATGACAAAATGTGTACTTTGCATTTATTTATTGAAATTATTAAATAATGAGACATTCAGTAATTTGTTTATTATTTTGTAAACAATAAAATCATTCATATAAATGTTGCACAATAAAAGACGGAACAAGAAAGTAGCAGAGGTAGTAAACAAATGGAATGTTTTAAATGTATAATAAATACAACTAAATTAACGTAGTCGTAACCCACGATAAGTGTTTTGCATTTTTTATATAATTGGTCGCATTACCTTATATTATTGTTGTGTTTTTGTTATTGTTTTGAGTTGCTGAATTTTTATTCTTTTCTATTCAACCTTATTGTTAGTAGAATTAGATAAATAACAATTATTAAATTTATGTTAATAATTTCTGAAGAAAAAGTTTACAAACACTGCGTCTTTGTTTACCTCATAAAAACGAAGTATAGAGATGAAATATTTTCTTCAAATTTAAACAATGGGACCACTACCGAGGCATCCCGTTTCCAACAAAAAAATAATAATAACAACCGTTATTTATTTATTTATTTAAACACTTCATTGTAGATACCACAAAGTAAATTACAAGTTTTAAGAAACAATTTAAAATATTAGTGTACAAAGACGAGCTTCATCCCATAAAGGGATTTCTTAAAACTATCTTTTAAAACCTGAGAGGAAAGTTGGTTTTTGGGTTGGCAAAAAAATAAATAAATAGAGAAATTTAGGGTCGTATTCCAGAACTCTACTCAATGCTCAAGTTAGGATTTGAGCAGACTTGAGTATGATTTTAAGCACTGGAAATACGAACCTAATGGCAAGGACTTGAGTATGATTTTCAGTGCTCACTGCAATACTCAAGTCCTGACTTGAGTATTGAGTAGAGTTCTAGAATACCACCCTAAATGTTACTATACTCAAAAAATAAAAGGAAGCTAGGAGAAATGGGATGGAAAACTTATGAGCGTCTAAATAAAAGTGTAATTATTTTAATTTTAATAAGTATAATTACTTACAGAAATTCCAATATTTTTGGCAAGAGTAGAATCAGTGATGTTGGCAAATGGTTTGTCCGCACCCCAGCATTCGACGTACTTCGTCATTTTGCTAGATGGACGAGATCTGGTTGGCACTCCGGGAGTCGCTGCAATATTTAATGGAAACAATATAAAGCATAGAACGAGATACATAGAATGTGAAAGAAAAAACTCGTTTTTTTCCACACACATTGGGTCACGAAATGTGAAATCTAATATTAATGGCATTCGTTTCACATGCAATACTTTTAACATCAGCGGTCACCCATTTAGTCGCTATTAACATAGTATAATAAGACAAATAGCTTTACTCTATATAAAGGTGCTACCTTTAAGGGGCTTCAATGTGTGCACGCCCTTTTCACTCCGTGTGCGGTCGCACACATTCACATTGCATAACGCGGATCATAGCACGAGCCATTCATTACAGAGATGAAGCGTTTAAAAAATGACACCATATTGTACCTAAGTGTGTTTATTCTTTTATTTATGGTTACTTGAACAAGAGTCCCTCAAATTCAGAACTGTTCAGCATTTCATTTCTATTTTATAATCGTACTTCCATAATAAAGACACTAATCAACGTTGCTGGTGAATTAGTGATACAACAGACTTCTGCTTCACATCTGTGATGTCATTTACAACAGAACTTTAATCGGAAGTTTGTAATGTTCGCGATGGATTTCAGGCGCGCGCGCATATTCCTTGGTAGTGGGGAGCGTGTTTTTTAGCATTTAAGTGTAATTATGAAACTAAAAGCAAGCCCTGTTTGCAACCATTTCGTTGAGAACTTTATAAAGTATTAACAAGCATTATTATTTACACTTCTGCTTCAGCATCCGCTTCCGTTTCCGCTAAAATTTACTTTTGACATCTGTTTCCGTTCCTGTTTCCGTTATGACACTTCCGTTTCCGCTCCAGTTTCCGCTCTAACACTTCCATTGCATCACTAGTATAAATATATCAATATGTAAGCATTCGACAAAGGTTATTTCCACATAGCCCGAGAACACTAGACGAATACCTTCATTTTTTCATATTGTATTTAAAACCTGTAGGTTACACACAACTAAAATAATAATGTGACAACCCTAAGTTCCGTGTAGGCATTGACGCGCCGAACAGGCGGGAGTTGGACTAGTCTTATTATACTACGCTATAAAGATCTGTCCATATTTTCAACCTACACCTATTAAAAGTCACCTTCGCTTTGGCTGGAAGACACTTCCATATACTCAGCTCGCGCTTATATAACACCTCGAACAGTACAATAAATATCTAATCTCTTTCCCGTTATGTTAAAAGTATCGTGTATATGTAGAAGGCGTTAATGTTGTGCAGGTTTAACAGGAAAAACACAAAGGCTATCCTAAATTAGCCAGCAAATTGGTTTCAAGATAGGTATTGATGTAATTAACAACAGGCCTGGTATACACAATGTTATTTCCTAATAAATTCAGATGATCATGCTTCCCAGACTACAAACGTTGACATTTAAGATTGCAAAGGAAATTGTCACAATACAATCACAAAACTTAGGAACCGGTACAAAACTGTATAAAAATTATGACTGAAGGGGTTTCAACGTAAAACTAACTTAAGGATTCTTCAGTTGATATTGTACTCAACATCCTAGAGAACAGAGTCGGGTGTAGCTCATGAGTTGGTGACAGTTCTGGTGAACTTTCTGAAGAAAAAGATCTATTGTCATTATAAAGAATTTTAGTAATTATGTCTCTTTTTTTCTCACCGCATTATTAAAACAATGTTATAGAGAGAAAAGGTTTTCAATTTAATGAAAAATCAATAATTAAATAATCCATTATTATTTAATTTTATCATCACGGTGAAACATCGTCACATTCAATAAAAACTTAAAAATTAATAATAAATGCAACAAATAATTCTTAACAATTAAATGCTTAATTTTTTTTTAACATTTGCACTAATTGTATAAATGACACAGACACAATAATAATGAACAAATACGAATAATGAACACAGATGTTGGTTTGGCTAACTTCGTTTACGCGTTGTTGGGCGTCTAGGTATATTAAAACGGCGCTTTCAAATTAGAAGCTTATAGAAGCGATGCAGTGGCGCCACTACTAATTTTCATACAATACTAGTAGCAGTAGAGCTCCTTATGATAGAGTTCGTCCAGGGAAGTACTGCCACCTTACCTACTTCCGCCGCCAAGCAGTAACGTTCACATTACTGCGTTCCGATTTGGAAGGGTAAGGGTGTTAGTGAAATTACAGGCACATGGGTACTTGTCAACTTATGTCTCTGGATGACGGACGCATGGCAGTTCCCCTAATATCTTTGCGATTTAAAGCTCTGAATAGTACTGCAACTGTTATGGATAGGCGTGTCGCTTACCACCAGGCGTACGACTCGTCCGTCCCATCATTTGGTATTATAAAAAAAAATTTGAAGCACAGTTGCAACGTCACAATTAGAGAACTAAAAATTTATATAGCACTGCAGACGCGCGGCTGCCACGCCTCTTAAGCGCTTTTATAAGCCTCTAATGTAAAGGTACAATGGCTGAGCCTAGACGTTAACATCAACCATACCAATCATTCAATTATTATTATCGAAATAAACACAGACCCTAACAACGTTGGTCCAAAAATTTAGAAGTAAAATATAAACATACCTGTCCCCATAATGGGGCTAATTGCTCCAATAATAGACCCGCTGCGACTCTTCGGTTTTGGTATAGAGACAACTGCACCATTGGTGAGACTTTCACCAGGACCAGGACTGACTGCCGGGGTCCCGCCTTCGAAGGCCACGGTCTTCGCCTCGACTTTCACTGAAGCTCGGCGACTGAGATCTGCAATTGAAGAGACAAAAGTACAGAAGTATGGTTCTTGTAAAGGGGTGCATGAAAGGTGCCTCCTCGCACCCTGGGCAACAATTGGCAAGCACCTTACGTCGATTGGCAAGTCCTTTAACCACTATGGCAAGCATTATAGTGTATGCCATCAACACAATAAGAAGAAATTAACGTAATACCAATGCCAAAAGACAGTTAACTGGTTTATAGTTTTCTATACCCTCTATAACGCTATATTAATAGCGTTGTCCATACCGTAATTAATATCTTATTCAACAGTTCATAGCCGATGTATTTATTATGTATACACATACAAAAACACAATGCAACATATAAACACACACACAGGTACACACTTTTGTTGCACACATTTAGTTTACCCTCATCAGAACATAATTTTGTAATAACTAAAATTTCATATTTTGTTGTCACTTGTAATTACTCAATCATAGCAATTAAGTCTGCCTGGGGGTGGAGACCTGGTGACCTGAAATACAGGTTTTCCTAGTTCTGGGACCAGCCTCCACGAAAAAATTGTATTTTGATATTACGTAAAGTATTTATTTTTACGTGTACTTTTTGTGGAGACAATAAATTATTTTATTACTATTATTATTACATATCATGCATGCACCCTACAGAACATAGTTGTAAAATTGAAGAGAAAAGCAACCTACCACCAGTGGGTCCACTAGTTCTCATTGACTCAGTCCTGAGTACTCCTCTAGGAACCTCAGTTTCCTGGAAACTATGCTGCGAAGGAGCAGGACTTATGCTGCCCTTGGGCTTTGTGGGCGACGTATCGTTGCACAACGAGGAGACTATGCTAGCTTTGCGGTCCACTGTACACACAGAGAGGCGGCCGTTTTCTGGTGGCTTCTGAAATTGAATACATGAAATATTTGAAAACTTTTTTACTGGATGTAAAAATGAAGATATAGCAATTGTTAAGACCAGTAAATATGAATAGTTTATTTTTAAGCAAATATATTTATTTATTTATTAGCAACACTAACATTATGTTCACAACACATTCTTATCCTATTTGACTTAAGTGATCTACAATGTAAACATAACAATTACAAGTGTTGACGGCAATATTAAAACATCATACAAACTAAATTAAATTAAATTAAAATTTTTAACAAAGTAACATACATACAAAATTTATTAGATAGCATTAGACTACACTGAGATACACTATATTGGTTACGGATTAAGGCATTTGTTCTCACTAACAATTACACATAATTCACCTACATGGGAAAAACAGAAATTATGTCTATTTTTTATAATTCTTATAATTCTTTGTGAGCTGGAAACTAAAGTAAACCCTTGTCAGTATAGGTACTAAAAGCCATTTTGGGGCCTTATCACAACCTTTTAAAACAATGTGACTATTCATAGGTACTGTAGACTAGGCTGTACTCTATGAGTAGAATCACTGGCTGGGTGAATAGATTCACAATTAGAATGCTTTGAAAAAGAACTAAGAGAAAAGAATGGAAGATCTTGACATTAAGATTATTGATTTGTAACCCAAAAACATGTAAAAAAGTTAAATAAAGTATATTTTTAAGGATTATTCCAGTTTATATTATTAAAAGTACCTCTCGCAATGCATTAGAGCTATACCCCTCGTGACAGTACCTATACCATGATAATACCAACAAAGTTAAAGCTATGTTTCAAGTTCTTGGGTCTCGAAAAAAAAATCATTTACACTGCGTGGTGTGAATGAAATTACAGTAGCATTAGTACTCATTGTCAAAGAGTTTGTCTAAGGAAGTCCTGCGATCTTACCTATATTTGCCACTAAGCAGTAATGTTAGCGTTGCTTTCCAGTTTTGAAGAGTAAGTGTGCTGGTATAATTACAAGTACTTGGGACTTGTCAATTTATATCTCAGGGTGATGCGCGCAGCGGTAGCGCCACTCAGACATTAGCGATTTAAAGCCCTGCAGTGACATTCTAACTACTATGGATAGGCATGTCGTATACCACCAGGAGCACGACTTGTTCATCCCATCAGTTGGGTCTAAATCAAGACAAGAGCACAAAATATTGGTTTGTTTGAAAAAAGCTAATACAATGCAATTCAGGTCCAGGTTCTTAGGTTTTCGCGATTGTTACACGTAGGAAATGAAACTATTTTTCCGGATTTAAATCGTGTATATTTGTTTTTTCAAACAAACCGACGTTTCGGACCCTATATATTAGACATAACTGGTTGAAGACTGTACCACCTCAGTCAACCGTGACCATGGGACCTGTAAAGGGCCCGAAACGTCAGTTTGTTTGAAAAAACAAATATACCTACGCGATTTAAATCCGGAAAAATAGTTTCATTTCCTATTTTTATTAATGTTTTATATTTATAGTTTTGTGATGATTTCTTCACTATTGACATCTAGTATCACAGTAATGACAATGGCTATGAGAATTTACTTGTATGCAATAGAAACAAAATTACAAAATATTATAATCCAACTTCTTTTCTAAAATTGATTAGTGACAATTAGATGTAAGTTCTAATTATTTATTTACAGAAGTCTATTCAATATTTTATATTTCTGGTAAATTTAACTTGAAAAAGACATACAGAGCTTTGAATTAAATCCCAATTGGGACAGTAAATCGTTTATAAGTAATTATTGTCTCAGAAACGAGATAAAACCTCTTATGAAGAGCTCCAAAAGGTCATCAGATTTGCCTGTTAAAACGAATTTATTATCCATATATATACTTAGTAAGTGGTACGTTTAATGCGCAAGACCGCTTTATTTATACACGTATTTTAAAGGATAGTACGGTATAGACAGATTACGGCCCGGTTACCTACTGTGAATAACACGTTGAAGCAACGTATGTGCAATTCAGCCAATATATTTGATATATTTCATGGTTTATACTGTGTTATACAGCTTTGTTTATAAAACCTTGAACAAATTTTAAAGTAGTTTTCAAATCGTTATATATACATAATATCTAACAGCATTCTTTTAGATTACTTATTACCGTGAGTTAATCTCAATACATTACAACTTTACCTACCTTTCGAATTGACGACTTCTCAACAGGGATAGAATTAGATTCATTTTCTTGCTTGTTGTTCCCAGTTGTTGTTCTATAGTCTTTTCGGCATTTTCTAGTCTTCCTTTTGACATTCACAATTACTGTTTGTATTGAAATCGGCGTAGTGTAAATAAATAAGTTAAAACGTACATTTGTACCACTAATACGTGCTAACGTACTGTGCATCGTAGAATATAGATTTAAAATATTTATTATAAAACTACAAAAATTTGTAAACAATCTTTGAAAAAGTTTGCGCGTCTATTTTTTTCGTTTTTTTTGTTCTATTATTCGTCTAAAAAGGATAGGCTGGGGAGGGAAGGATAGGGTCAAAGACCATACTGCCTCATCTTCAGCATTGAGTTACTGATGTAAATTTCTTTAGTAAAGTCGTTTTCTTATAGTATATAACTTCTTCGTCATCATTATTATAATCCAATAATGAAACTTCTTTTTTCTTCATGCTCGTCTCTAGTCTCTAGGCTTATATAGTTCAGGTTCGACACTGACCAACATGAACTAGTTCGTCTTACACGGTTTTAATAGTTCATCGTTCTTTTTAGTTCAGTACGAATTAGGAACTATCTGCATTGATAGTTCACCTGCCTTTTATTCAGTAGGAACGGTGCGAGCGGGACAAAAAGCGATTTTTCACTGTTAGTTCGTGAACGTTGACAGCTCGTATCTTCATTATGTATATATGTAAGCTTGCAAAACAGTAAGTGCTCATATTTTTGGTAGGTGTGGTAGGTATCTGTATGTATAGTATCAGCCTACGTCCAGGAGTATATGAAATAGTTGTACCTAAATATTGATTTTTAAATACCCCATTCTAAAAAAATCTTATATTGGTTGGAATTACAGTCTTTAAACCTGTAAAATGTGAAGGAACATCAAATAGTACCGATTCCATATAAATTGTATTTTTAAATAATATTTAGTAGGTACAGTGTAACTATTAACCTCTTACTACTAAAAGTCCGTTTATGTGAATAAAATTACTAGTTTGGAGCGTTCGTTCAATGTCCGAGCAAGGGCAAGACGAACTAAGGAACTTGATGAACTAAATGAACTAAAAGACCGCCTAGTTCAGTTGGCCGATTGAACTACTCGGATCGCTCCCTCTAAATACGGATCAGGCACAAGTCTACTCGTTTCTAACATTGTGCGATTGCGCGGTAACGTGAAAAGTATGTTAGCCCAGGTAGGACTTTTTTGGTGGAGCGAACCTAAAATTAGTTGGAAGTTGGAAAGTTGTTAATAATAAACAAATAATCGTGTATATTTCTATAACTGGTAGGTACTTGTAATTGGTAGGTGTATGTGTTGTATACTCAAAGGGTGTATTGTATAAGTACTCAAACTCTGTGGCAGATTTGCCCTGAAGCCCAGTAGGCCCGGGCCTAGGGCGGCCAATCGTGACAAAAAATTCACTGATAATAACAACAAGAGATAACTCAAAATAGGTGCCTAAATATTGTAAAGGTTCACGCACATTATGGTGGGCCATACTGCACCGCATTGTATTAACAACAATCGTCCTAAACCACTTTCGTACATTTTCTGTTTAAAATATAGATATGTTACACATCTTTGATGTAATGTAAAAAAATAATTTGACTGCCTCCGTGGCCGAACGGTTACCATGCCGGACTCCCACGCAGAGGTCCCTGGTTCGATTCCCGGGCCGGGGGAAATATTTGTATGGCATACATTTATTTCTCTCGTGAGTTTGGGTGTAATTTGTTGTTGCCTATATGTGTGTCTATGGCACCCGCGACACAGGGTTTCCCTAGTGCGGGGCTATATTGAGTGTGTGTGTGCGTGTACGTTAATGTATTATCACTACATCACTAGAGTATAGTGTTCTGTGATCACTACGTATTATCACTACTGCGTCTGTCTGTCACATCGCGATAAACTCAAAAACGACTGAACGGATTTTCATGCGGTTTCCACCAATAGACAGAGTGATTCATAAGAAAGGTTTAAGTGTATATTTTTTTTAGGTTTTGTGTAAGTTGGCTGAAATATGACGATAAACGTTGAAGATGTCGAAAAATATCATGCCGGCTGGGCGCTTTATTGGCGTGTGCCCTGCAAACTAATAGATACCAAACCAATGTTCTAGAAAAATATTAAAATTATTAAAAATATTAAATAGTAAATTTCTGAATCGATTTTTATAAAAGTTGGCAGTAAAGTAAATTCATTATGTAGTCTACCAGTATGAATGATATGTATGAATGAATGATAATTTTTGTTACTCTCACAAGGCTTACTTGCTTAATACAGAGTTTTGTACTGTTATACACATCGTGAGAGTCTGGTATCAGTGCTAGGGTTATATCCCTGTATGACTAATCACCAGGCTCTCTCTCTGTAGGCTAATGTTAATTACTCCTCTTATTAATTCCAGTTCGGACAAGCTTGGCAAAAGTTAAGTAGAATAGTAGTAACAGTAATAACAACTTATAAATAGGTAAGAACATTCTAAAGACAGACTAAATTTTGTGTTTCAGTGTGTGTGTGTGTGTTCGTGCATTGGTGCTTGTGTGCGTGCCTTCGCGAGTATGTGTCTTGTCAGTAGTAAAGTGCGTATCGGTATCATTTCAAATTGATGTCCTAACATTAGATTTTGATGTCGACACATCTACACATCTACACATATCATAGCCCTACCAGTGGTTAGAGACCTGCTCTTGGGATCGCATGCCAACTGGCGTGACAGTCATTATGCGCTATGTATGGTAGAAATTAAGAGTAGGTCACTTAGAGTGAGAGACCTGGTTCTCTTTTGGGAGG